CTATGGTTATATAGTCCCTGTTTATACCTTGTTACGAATGAATACATTTTATACGACCATGTTAAATACTACATAGATCTGTTAAGCCTTAGTATAGCTTTTACTGTTCTTTTGACAAAAATATACGCGATGAACCTGAAAATATAGTCAGTAAATTGATAAGTGAGTCATTTATAACTACGTGAAATCGAATCAAAGGTACTTTTCTCATAGCTCAAAGCAAAAAGAGTAAAATAATAGGTCATAGACCACAAGCTCGACACACAATTCTCGGAGTTTACTGTTTCGGCAAATTACTTCACAATGTTTGGCATAGATAAACGTGTGGAGATACAGGGAAGAGCGACCTTCATTACCCCCAGGGTTTCAACCCACAACCAAAGGAAAGACGAGACAGAGGAGAACCGAGTCGAGTGTTCTCGTAAAATTTGTTTTTAAATGTCTAAATAGATGACCCCACGCTTTGAACCTCCGGTTGTTTATGTTGGTAGTTTACGTGTGCTACTATAGCCCTCGGCAGAAAGGTGCACGAAATGCTGACATGAGACAACAACAGTTTCACAATGTACATAAATACGTTGATGTGCAGCAACTAGGACTTTACGGACGGGTTCGGGATGTGTTTAATATACACTGCTTTAAATGACAAATATATAGTAGATTTGTAAGGAGCGAACACCAATCTGTCTGTAGTAAATTCCATAATACGGGAACCAGTTGCTATCGTTGATTTGTACATTTACAAGGCTGTGGTGTTGCATAATGACAATCCATCGTGCCTGTACAGCACGTGATACACGTTCACACAAACCCCAGAGTGTGCGCCTGGAGGAGAACGCACAATCACTTTAGTCCAGAGAAGCACGTGCTTAAAAGTGCCTCTAAGACAGTATCTCAGAAAACACAATGGCAAATTGTAGGTCCAGAGAAGGGCTAACGTCAGTACCACATATTTTGGCAAATGAAAAAGAGAAATTTCTCGATTGTGGGCCAAGTACCGGTAAACGGTTGGGGTATCGATGAAACTCAGGCATGGCAAACATGATGCCTATAGACAATACCGTCTCATTACATTCATTGCAAAAAGAAATATATATTCAGATATGCTCCGTTATCAATGAAGAATTCCACACTATAACAGGAAGCGAATTTCAACATCCACCGTTGAAAACAGCTCCAGTGTTACGAAAATGGATGGATATTAACCATTTTCTGCAGAAACAAGACATGACTGGCAGAAAACGTGTACCTCTGCTGTGCTGTGTATGAAGTTCTAAACCATGATTTCATTCACCTTGTGTAAAGGTAATGCAGTTAGGGACTGTTCACACATACTCTATGGCCTGGAAGGTGATGTTGATTTGGGGGATGGAGGGTGGGCATGTGTGGACAAATCAAATGTAATTTTTGCTAGTCAACCATTCCACATTATTATCAGCTTGATGAACAAAGATTTTCACATGTACATAAACTGAATGTCGTAGCGTAAGTGTGACATATTCTTATGTTGGTAATACAGCTTGCTGGCACATTAATGATATATCGCAACGCCGAACCTTTTACATCAGAGCGAAAAGGCAAATAAGTTCACTGTAATTTGTTCCATTAATTTTTCCGACACGAATTTCAGCCATAATAAAACAGTATCTCATGCAGAATCGATAAGCGTTAATTAGTATTGAGATGAAGATGATTGTCACAACGCGTGGTCACCTGATGGCAAATCTAAAGTACATGTTACACAGCGTGTTCCCGCGGTCAGCGTGCAGGTACCTGGTCTCGCGTTAACATATTTCTGAATGGAAGTTCGTTTTCCCTGTATTCGTCCGAGGGGTCGTTGGGTCCATACGTGTTGTTATAGGGTCGAATCCCATCTAGACTGTGCAGGCCTGGCGAGTAACGAGTAGATGCTATAAACTGCACATAACCACAAGCAATTGACATGTAAACAATGACGGAAAGCTGCTTAACCATGTCAAATAACCTTTCGTTTATGCTTGCTTTTCAACCCAGGGATCATTCACGTGCTCGTTTCTCCCTCTCCTTTTTATTTGTGGGAAATAAAACAGAAATTATGTTCTCCATTTCCGTTTCAAAAACTTTGAATAGGAGTGTATTTCACACACTGTGATCCAGGGGACCTGTGGATGCGTCTTTCACTCGGCGTATTAGCGGCGGAGCGTCCAATAAAGTAATTGACCCAGGCAGATTTATGCGCTTTTTACACCTGTGCTAATTTGATGTACTTGGTGCGTTCTACTTGAGCCGCAACTTCCACAGTGGCTTGGTGTTTGAGTTACTCATATTTTCACCCTCGAATCCCCCAAGCATGTTTATAAAATTGGCACTGATTAGTGTCTGGACATTTTTATACACCAAATGTTAATAAAAATGGCATAAATATTCAAATTAATAATCTGGTAAATACATTATCACTGTTTTGGAGCGATACTATCTGATTCAGACATGGGCCTTGGCATACGTTGAAAATCACTGTTTACCCTTATCGTAAACATAGGGGAGTGTGGTTATTCTTCACTGTAATGCAAGACTGAATTCCTAAATGTCTTCCATAACCAATTAATTTCCTCGTAAATAATGGAGGCTAGACATCGTAACAAATTTAGACATACACAGGCACCTAGACATACACTGTAACGACATTATAAAATGTTCCACAGACATAGAAATAAACAGACCATTTCTTATCACGAATGTTCTAACATTGTATCAAGAACGGATATAGCCCGGTTTTAAGTATCCTATTTGATTATTCCATTTAATCAGAAGTCAGGTTTATCGAGAAAATATTTTGAATAGCTGACATTGCTACGTTTTTTGTATAGATAATATTGGGATCATTATGTGTGTGTGCGCGCGTGTGTTAGTTGCAGACACTGGAACACGTCAGGCACAGTTTAGTGATCTAAACAGAAAGAAACGCAAAGGCTGTTCTCAATTAAATGTGTGCATAATTTAAATCTACACGGGTGAAACCTAGTATTGTGATGGTCACATGTAGACATAATGACAAATACTGACTGTCCTGTTGCAAGAGACGTACAATATTGAACAAACATTAAGGATAACAACTTCTTGTATTTCGTGAGTGCTATCCACGAGTTGGGTGTGGAGTGCTCAGATTGATACCTGACCACCGTGTGTTGTTATCACTGCTCTACACTTGGTGCTATGTCATGTTCTGTTTTGAAATAGAAACGTAATGAATATATACAATGTATGTTCTTGGACCTTGGACTTAAAATGGTAATGAATGGAAACTTGATCTCGTCACTATATGACTGGAATAATGCCGATGTGACGTAAAGCCCAACTCAACGCAACTCAACTCTACACCACCTAGGCTCAGACTGAATACGTCTAGGGATTCTGTACTGTGGCATCCATCTCCATTCATCCTGCGACATGTTGGCCAGTAACGTCGATGGCGTGATGACGCTAACGCTCACGTCTAACGGGCTCATCCCACAGATGCTCTGTCGGGTTCAGATCCAGATATCTGGAAGGCCATGGAAGACATTGACGTTTGAATTATGACAGAAGTAAACAGTGACACGAGTTTGTTGTAGAGTGTTTTCATGTTGAAACAACGCCCTCTGTCGGTTGATAAGCGAAAGAAGGTGACGTTGAAGACTTTGCTTGAAGTACCGTTATACTGCCAGATTCCCCTGATCCACTACCATGTCAGATATCCGTGTGCAGGATATGGCTTCCCACAAAACAGAACTTTCGCCACCGAATCTTGGACCTGCAGTCCGGTGCAATTCAGACGTCTGTAGACGCTCTAGTCTCACCTGGGCGCTGGAGAAACAATCGTGATTCATCACTAAACCAGATACGCCGCCTGTAGAGTATTGCATCATCGATTACGTTGTCAGCGATGCAAATGTCTCAAAATGGGACAAATGTCAGTCTTCTGGGTCTAATTCCCACCTCAGACGATACCTGATTGTTTGTCCGATAACCTCCTCAAACGATGATCATGCCCTGCAGTGTCGGTGCCAGTAGTACGTGGATGACGTGAATGAAAGACCCGGATGTAGCGATCTTGTGCAGTTGACGTGACTCTTGCTCTACCACGTGTCGGACGAACTGAAGGCGGGTGTACCGATCCCATAAACAAGATATGGTGCTCCGGTGTACGTTTAAATGACGTGTGCATGTAACTGTAGATTGGGATTCTCCAGATTCTCCTACAGCGATGTTATGATCGTTTCAGCTCAGGCATTTGCGAAAAGTCGACAAACGTGTGACAAGTATAGAGTCTATACTGACGAGATAGTGTTATCTGGCCACTCCCCATGTAGTAGAGAGTCTATCCTGACAGCAAATTGTCTAGTCGACCTCAGTGAGGTAGAGAATCTATTATACGAATCCTTTCATGTCGTGTTATTTGTTATATGAATAGACCAGTGTAGCATTCTGAATCCGTTTCTGAGGTTTCGTATATCTGTCTATAATAAATCTGGCCACACAAATCAAGTGTCACGTTGATGTCGGTGTACCGTTACTCCCTGAAGATGTACAGATATTTGTGTTAATCTTGCTAACGGTTTTGTCTCTTTGTCATGTACTCAAGTTAACTCAATCAGTTGAGACTTCCATCGTGACACTTGGGAGCTCAATGTGAACTTTGAAAGGGATACAAGTTTTTGTGTTCAGTAACGGTAATACAATTTCAAATTTCAATGTTTCTTGAAGAGGTAAAGATTACTGTCTCAGGAGTAACATTTAGCAATAAGCCAATGGCGATATCTATAATTTTATTTTATTTTTATGTTATGTTTTGCTGCTGTTTCTATCACGTGCTGTTCGTCACCATCATGTGCAATGTCCTGTTATTCTCTGTCACTGTTCTTTGTCACTTGCTGTACCTCTGGTTGGTGCTGTTCTTCTTTATCATGTGCTCGTGTCGATGTCCTGTACCTCCCTGTCGTGTACTGTTGTTATTCTCTATCATGTGTTCTTGTTTATTGTAGGTCCTCAAGCTGACGCAGGGTTTTCCGGTTTCTGCCGACCCAAATGTTCTCCGCAGTACTGTAGGCGGAACCCCAAAGCCGTGTGTTCTGCCAGGTGAGTACATACTCTCGACGAGGTCACCTTACAACGAAATGGTGCAATGAAATATTTTCCTGATTATTTCTTCATTGAATGGCATTTTAGAAATTAGGCGTACAAATTGAACATACGTTATGGATAACAACTTCTTTTATTTCGTTAGAGCGACGTTCCGATACAAAAGAACTTCTTATCCATAAAGTTTGTTCCATATTGTTTATTTCATTATTGAAAGACAATAGAGTAAGCTTTCAGCATGATACTGTCAAATACGAGCGTTCTTCGCCTTTACAGCAAGGAGCTGTGGACAGCAAAGGAACTTGCATTGACTGTTGTAGTGTAAGAGAATCACAGATGAATACTTGCTTAAGATCAAGCTTACCCTGTATAACAGACGAACTCCAAAACTATAAACAAAAACAAAAAAGCTACATGTAGATAGAAAATGGGTCCCATTGAGATGAGAGACTGATAACATGGAAATCTAGACTTGCTTCGTTTAGGGCTGTCCCGTTACAGTTATGGCTGAGCGAAATGGAATGCAACACTGCTGAGGCACATACTGACGCTCAGGTCTCGGAAATTATATGAACATAAATACCACCCTTCATTTAGAAAACTAGGTTCAGGGACTGAGACAGACTAGGTTCAGAGACTGAGACAGACTAGGTTCAGAGACTGAGACAGACTAGGTTGAGGGACTGAGACAGACTAGGTTTACGGACTGAGACAGACTAGGTTGAGGGACTGAGACAGACAAGGTTTAGGGACTGAGACAGACTAGGTTCAGAGACTGAGACAGACAAGTTTAGGGTCTAAGACAGACTATGTTTAGGGACTGAGACAGACTAGGTTGAGGGACTGAGACAGACAAGGTTCAGAGACTGAGACAGACAAGTTTAGGAACTAAGACAGACTAGGTTTAGGGACTGAGACAGATTAGGTTCAGGGACTGAGACAGACAAGGTTCAGGGACTGAGACAGACTAGGTTCAGAGGCTGTGAGACACACAACCTGTACAACTGTGTGCAGATTCACAATGCCTACCTTCATTGACACGTCCCGGCATCAACACAACATCCTCCATATGGACTTTCTCCCCGGCACTGACGTCAGTGTACGACGTAATATTGTACATACTCTGGCAACTGTTCGGAGCAGTTGTTTCATCAAAGAGAATGGCCTCAAGTGTTACATGGTCACTTCCTGAATTTCCTCGCTGTTGAGTGCACTAAGGTTAACCAAGGTCATGGCCATGGGAGATGATAGCTAAATTGAAGGTCAAGAAAGGGTTCATGTGATTGTTTTCGTGATGTGTCTTTTTCTCGTGTTTGGTCAAATGTTGTAATGCCGATTTCACACAGCGTTGTGGGTCACTTACGTTTGTTTCAAGACACGAAAAGCATTGTATAAAGTTAGTACATATTATCCAAGAGGGAATGTTCTTGTATTGTACACTGTACACTACCTCGCAAGGATGAGAAAGACACATTAACTCGGTGCGCCTGGTGGCTGCAATAGTTGTATGATTCCCCAGGGAGTTGAGATTGATAATACGATGTCCCGTTTGAGTTTGACATCCAAGGATCGAGGGAAAATCGAAGCGCCTTTGAGCAGCTGAGGCTGTGACGTCAGACATAGTTTTCGTAGTGTACACATAGAGATATATATCCCCAGGTAAAAGTGTATGTGACATACCCGTATAGATATATCGCCCGATATAAAGGTGTATGTGACGTAACCGTATAGATATATCGCCCAATATAAAGGTGTATATCACGTACACGCGTACGTATAGATATATCGCCCAGTATAAAGGTGTATGTGGCGTACACGTATAGATATATCGCCCAATATAAAGGTGTATATGACGTACACGTATTGATATATCGCCCAATATAAAGGTGTAAGTGACGTACACGTATAGGTATATCGCCCAAAATAAGGTGTATGTGATTTACACGTATAGATATATCGCCCAATATAAAGGTGTATGTGATGTGTAAAAGCAAGTCACTCTCGTTCGTCGTTATGGGAGATGGATAAACGTTTATATTTCATGTCGTAAATGAAAAAAACATGCTCCGGACTTAGTTGTGGTTGCGCTGGCATGGAATATATTTAACGATGCCATGTAATAACCCTAAGTGATATAAAGAATATGAAAGTGTTCTCATCAGTGTTTTCACATAAGGACGGCAAAATGGTTTGCATTACGAACAAATCAACTCCATGAAATGTAAATCAGTTTAGCTTTGACCACAGAGGGTTCGTGTTTCACGGCGTGCGTCTGATCATCCCCATTGTTTATTCTCTTTTACATAGCTATAATATTTGACATTTGAAAACACGTCCCGGCATCTCCACATCAGGTAGGGCGTTGGGCAGAGATATTAAAACCAATGTATGGAAGCATGACCCGGGCATCCGTGAATGCGACTTCTCAAAGAGCTAATCTTAACCTATCCTTTAACCAGCTATTTCACAGATGATACATGTATCCCACTATTTGATGTGAAGTTGTTCCATATTCTTCCGGAATGCCGGTAAACCCCAAAGCATCTTTTCCTGACCTGCAACGCGTCGGTAAATACGAGCGACAATTGTTTCTGAATGTTACCAAGGTGTTGTTTTCTCCGCTGGTTAATCTGGTATGCTCATCATTGTTTTAGTGGCCAAAGAATCCCTGCTCACCTGGGCCAGGTAAAGACACTACACGGCTAATGTGTGTATCGGGAGGGCTCCAGGTGGTTTTACCTCTGTGTGAGGTGTAACGGGTTTTCTGTAGGTAATGTTTGTTTATGCTAGCCGCCCCCGCGGTTGAATCACCTGGCGGCGTTGATTGAACACACCTGTCTGGCGGCTGGTGACGTCACATACAGGTTGCAACGTCACATGGAATCCGAGGGTGCATGCACAGGCTGCTTGGCACGGACGTCCTCAGCAGGTGGGATGCAACCGCAGTCATAAACGTCAGTGTCAGATTGAGATAAACTACATCGTCCTCATGGTCAGACTATTTAGACAGTATGAAGCTGGACTAAGCGTCTAACATCCGTTAAAACTATTGCGGAAATAAATACCATATGTTGATGGTTTTGACCTCAACACGTACCTGCACACAATGTACTTGTTAAATTGTACAAAGAATGAAGTTGTGAACACAAACGTGCATGGCTGTGAGGTTTTTAGTTGAATCATATAGGAGTAAGCACATATCGTTTTACGCTGCATTTGCATATGTTTTACCTCATTGTGGGCCTCACAATCTGGACTAGGTATATCTTGGATGACCTGTCTTGGGGATACGACCATCCAAGTCATACTATGGAACCTTCCGACAATGCCAAGTCGTAGTCTATTGCTTGGCCAACTGGAGAAAAAAAAGATATTTTTTGTTATCTGTTTGTTCTGTCTGAGAACAGTTTGTGGTAGTGTTTAGGGCGAAAAGGCTAGTTAGATACGGAACTAGCATAGGATGTTTATACCACAGTGACTCATCGTCGTGTAAAAACTCCCACATCCTTCTGTATCTGTCAAAGTGGACAGACGGATATATAGCATGGAGCCCTTCCCCCGTGTCGGTCCCCGTCAGCCGGAGAAACCAACGCCAGCTAATTAGACAGGGTCAGCGTAATCTATACCATACCCTCATCCAACACTCGTGGCTTACAGTTACAGTGAGATCATGTAAGACCCATTTATCCTCCCGGAAGTGACTCCAGTTTCACCTTTCACATCCAGCGCAACCAGTAACATGTTATGTGTAGATATTAGTTGGCAAAGTAAACGAATAGAGCACCCAGACATATTCAGAGCGTTACTTAGAACTAACGTACACCTCGGTTTTAAAGCTGCACACCTGGTTTCTGTACACGAGCTGGTTACCACCTAGAGTTTCAAGTCACCATGTGTGAAGAGAAGGGTCTTGTCTTCATATTTTAACCAAGATTCTACCGTCCTCATGTCCCCAGCGGAACAACATATGCTTTATAAAGTCGTGTCATAGGTTCATGATGATGTCGGAAGCAGAAAGTCATTTCACATGTTACTTGTAGAAAATCTTGTCTTAACATGCTCCTTCCTGAAAATCTTGTCTTTACATGCTCCTACCTGAAAATCTTGTCTTCGCATGTTCCAAGCAGAAAGCGAGTATAGTCTTCACATGTTTCCAGTAACCGATCGTGTTTTCACGTGGTTCCGACCGGCAAGTTGTCTCTTTAAGTTTGATGCGGTCAGTTGTGTCTTCACGTGGTTGACAGCATGTAGCCAAGTTACGTTAACTACCAACCCCGTCCACCTGTGAACAACGGTGATGACACCAGGCCTAAGCATGCCCTACCTTACAGGTAGCACTCGCCATTCACACAATTGCCTTGCGACGGCGGCCAGTAAACAAACCGTGCAATCAAGTGATCGATGATCTTGAAACTTGTTCACTTTGAATTATGACTAATTTTGTTTTACAGTTGTAATGTCGCAGACCAAACATTTCTCTTTTAGCGAAGTCAAGATGTATACGTGCTCTTGATCTTATGGTAAAACTGGGGGACCTCTGTCAATCATTGAAACATCGACGTATAGATGTGTTTCGGAACGCCCTAGTATTTCTATACATGAAACTTGCATCAGATAAAATCTTAGTGCCTTTAGATATGACTGAATTACGTCGGTTTGGATGGTGTGCCTTTAAGAACAGTGTTGTGTGGAGATCTTGTTCCTCAATGACAACATAATCCTAGGTGCCAGCAATGGAATGCTAAACTCCTCGGCAGGGTGTAATTAGCGTGTTCTTTCTGCCGAGGAGATGTTGCTCATACGTCTCAATGTATTCTCCACGCAAGGACGCATGTGCGTTTTTTTACGCACATGTTAATGTCCTAGATGCAGGAATTACCCCGTGTTCGTAGATGTCGACTCCACGAAACAACAGTTGTCCATCGATCAATCAGACAGTCTGTCCCTGATGGCAAATATTCAGACGCTCTTGGACCTTACATTCTGATCCCAAACCCCATAGCATTTCATTTTCTTTTCGGTTCGGTTCGGTTCACCTGTATTACCTTAAAGGTTATCATTAAGTGTGAATACATATCTGCGCAGATGTTTCTTTCAGTAAAGGGCATTATCCTCCTGTTCTCCAAATCAGATTCCACTGACATTTTGTGCGTGATTTCGACAACGGGTGGAATTGAATTTGTGTCCGATAGAATACCAAGTGGTCGGGTTCATGCTTTGGTCACTATCATTCCTAAAGCTAGGGCCTATTGAAATCCAAATACCGTGTATAAAACTAAGACATTGTTTCTTTCTAAATAATAATATGTCTGAAACTAAGATGTTGTTTTTGTGTAATTAAAAGATTGCTTGAAACTATGACTTTGTTTCTGTGAAATTAATACCATGTCTGAAACTAAGACATTGTTTCTGTGAAATTAATGCCATATTTCAAACTAAGACATTGTTTCTGTGTAATTAATACCATGTCTGAAACTAAGACATTGTGTCTATGTAATTAATACCATGTCTGAAACTAAGACATTGTTTCTGTGTAATTAATACCATGTCTGAAACTAAGATACTATTTCTGTGTAATTACTACCGTATCTGAAACTAAGACACTGTTTCTATGAAATTGATACCATGTATTAAACTAGGACATTATTTCTTTCTAAATAATAAAATGTCTGAAACTAAGATGTTGTGTTTGTGTAATTAATAGATTGCTAAAACAATGTCTTAGTTTCGAATATGGCATTAATTTTACAGAAACAATGTCTTAGTTTCAGACATGGTATTAATTACACAAAAACAATGTCTTAGTTTCAGACATGGTATTAATTACACAAAAACAAAGTCTTAGTTTTTGACATGGTATTAATTCCACAGAAACAATGTCTTAGTTTGATACATGGTATTAATTACACAGAAACTATGTTTTAGTTTCAGACATGGTATTAATTTCACAGAAACAATGTCTCAGTTTCAGACATGGTAGTAATTACACAGATACAATGTTTTAGTTAAAGACATAATATTGATTAATACGGAACAATGTCTTTGTTTCAGGCATGGTGGTTTATCAAACACATTTGGATTTCAATAGGCCCTAGCTTTAGGAATGAAAGTGACCAAAGCATGAAATGTCTTAGTTTCAGACATGGTATTAAATACACAGAAACAAAGACTTAGTTTCAAGCAATCTTTTAATTACACAAAACCTACATCTTAGTTTCAGACATAATATTATTTAGAAAGAAACAATGTCTTAGTTTTATACACGGAATTAATTACACAGAAACAAAGTCTTAGTTTCAAATATGGAGTTAATTACACGGAAACAATGTCTGAGTTTGATACATGGTATTATTTACACAAAAACAACATCTTAGTTTCAGACATATTATTATTTAGAAAGAAACAATGTCTTAGCTTTATACACGGTATTAATTACACAGAAACAATATCTTAGTTTTATACACGGTATTAAATACCACGTATAAAACTAAGACATAGTTTATTTGCAATTAATACCATGTCAGAAACTAAGACATAGTTTCTGTGTAATTAATACCATGCATAATACTAAGACATTGTTTATGTGTATTTAATACCGTGTTTAAAACTAAGACATTGTTTATGTGTATTTAATACCGTGTTTAAAACTAAAACATTGTTTCTGTGTAATTAATACCATGTATAAAACTAAGACATAGCTTCTGTGAAACATCTACCATGTCTGAAACTAAGACATAGTTTCTGTGTAATTAATACCATGTATCAAACTAAGACATTGTTTTTGTGCATTTAATACCGTGTATAAAACTAAGACATTGTTTCTGTGTAATCACTACCATGTCTGAAACTAAAACATTGTTTCTGTGAAATTAATACCATGTTGAAACTAAGATATTGTTTCTGTGTAGTTAATACCGTATATAAAACTAAGACATTGTGTCTGTGAAATTAATACCATGTATAAAACTAAGATATTGTTTCTTTCTAAATAATAATATGTCTGAAACTAAGATGTTGTTTTTGTGTAATTAAAAGATTGCCTGAAACTATGACTTTGTTTCTGTGTAATTAATACCATGTCTGAAACTAAGACATTGTTTCTGTGAAATTAATGCAATATTTCAAACTAAGACATTGTTTCTGTGTAATTAATACCATGTCTGAAACTAAGACATTGTTTCTTTGAAATTAATGCCATATTTCAAACTAAGACATTGTTCCTGTGTAATTAATACCATGTCTGAAACTAAGACATTGTTTCTGTGTAATTAATACCATGTCTGAAACTAAGACATTGTTTTTGTGTAATTAATACCATGTCTGAAACTAAGACATTGTTTCTGTGTAATTAATACCATGTCTGAAACTAAGACATAGTTTCTGTGTAATTAATACCATGTCTGAAACTAAGACATTGTTTCTGTGAAATTAATGCAATATTTCAAACTAAGAAATTGTTTCTGTGTAATTAATATCATGTCTGAAACTAAGACATTGTTTCTGTGTAATTAATACCATGTCTGATACTAAGACATTGTTTTTGTGTAATTAATACCATGTCTGAAACTAAGACATTGTTTCTGTGTAATTTATACCATGTCTGAAACTATGACATTGTTTCTGTGTAATTAATACCATGTCTGAAACTAAAACATTGTTTCTGCGAAATTAATGCCATATTTGAAGCAAGACTTTGTTTCTGTGTAATTAATACCATGTCTGAAACTAAAACATTGTTTCTGCGAAATTAATACCATGTCTGAAACTAAGACATAGTTTCTGTGTAATTAATGCCATATTTCAAACTAAGACATTGTTTCTGTGTAATTTATACCATGTCTGAAACTAAGACATAGTTTCTTTGTAATTAATGCCATATTTCAAACTAAGACATTGTTTCTGTGTAATTAATACCATGTCTGAAACTAAGACATTGTTTCTGTGTAATTAATGCCATATTTCAAACTAAGACATTGTTTCTGTGTAATTAATACCATGTCTGAAACTAAGACATTGTTTTTGTGTAATCAATACCATGTCTGAAACTAAGACATAGTTTCTGTGTAATTGATACCAAGTATAAAACTAAGACATTGTTTCTTTGTAATTAATAAGAGACCATGGTATTAATTACAGACATAGTTTCTGTGTAATTTATATTATGCACTAAACTATTTCCGTGTAATTAGCACCGCGAATACGTTACAAAATCTGAACTAGCAAAGTGTTTTAGAGACCTATCTCACTCCTGTTAGGAATTCCGAGTCACTAAAAGCCTAGCTCCCATCTAACCGTCCCTAAAAAGGCATTTGGGTCCCTACGAGGTGGTGTTCAGGCAACTACTTCTCTATATTACCAACGTCTTACCTATATCCTATCGGTGTTTTTTCATGTAAACTGGCTCCTGTAAGCTTTCTTAGATGTGACTAATAATGTTGCTATGCTTAACGAACACCTGGTGTCATCACTGATTTCCCGTGACCATTCATAAACTTGTCAACGCAATTTTGCAATTTACGCCCAATGGAATCTAGTTTGTCTGATTGTAGAGACTGCTTGTTTTCTGGCGCCAACGTTTTATACGTAATGTATACTACCGATCAAACGTTTAGACTCACTAGTGTAAATGTAGCCACTTACTTTAGTCAACTGTTCTAAACTAGATTTTGCAAAATATTCCATACTGTTTAAAGGTACTGTTTACACGTGAACTGATGTATTGTAAAACAAATTCGTAACGTTGAAATGATTATTGTCATGTGTTCAATAAATGATGTAAATCAGTGAAAATTGGCGAATTCTTAACAAAACTTTTCACCAAACGCAGCTGTTCACATGCGCGTTTGTATTTGCTGGTGCTTTTCAGCAATTTGTTGCATGATCCTCGTGCAAGTCATCTGCATAATGTTTCCAGTTGGTTCCCCTAAGTTAGTGGAGAAATTAATCTTCGATGTAACCATAGATATATACATAACATATAGTGAGTGCATTAAGCCTAAACTTTTGATGGGTAGTATATAAACATGTTACATTTACAACAGGATATGTACCCGAAGCTGTGTTCCATACTTTTCAATTAGGCTTCTCTAGAAACCAAAGTTAAAAGATTGGTCCTATTCATGTCAAATTCATTAAAATCAATTTTCAAAATATGTTATTTTTAAATTCAGATAGCAATGGAATACAAGAAATCTAACATAGAAATCCCTTTATATATTCGACAGTATAAGGAATATATATTTTCATCCATATGTCACTGTATGTTGCAGCGATGCAGCGGAGGTCCGGCGTGACTGCCACGGCGACTGCCAACACACGTCCTGCAACGCCTGCACCTTCCAACGGGAACCGGAATGTCCAGTTTGTCGGAAAGATGACTTCAGATGTCTTAAAAAGTTTGGCAAATGTATAAAGAAGCAAACCTGCTCAAGGAAACGATATCCCTGCAAGTGGAGGAAATTGAAGGTAACATATTATTAATTTTAACACATGCTGAAAAATACGCTTTGATTACACAGGAAAAAGAATTACATCAATAAAATGAAAGCATGTTCCTAGAGTCATTGAGTAGAAAACCGCCTCAAAGAAGGCGTTTAATTAAATGTTTACAAAAACATATCCTCCTAGCTGTTTGACGACAAACTATTTTCTGTAATCCGTGGCATTGCTGTCGTCAAACATGAAAGTGAGTTGTTCTACAATAAGTCGAACCTGTCCCCGACCCTTGCCACCCCCGCTACAAAAAGTCGGTCCACTGTGATTGCAAGAAGCACAATCAACACCGAGGCATACATGGATGAGGTATTCGGTGTGTGCTAAGTGATGGAGCTGTAGCCCCGTCTCACTCGATATACTCTACTCACTCTCTTGTGTTTACCTGAACGTGAGAGGGGAGGAGAAAACAGCAGTCACTCGTTCTCAGGGTACACCCCGAAATTCTCGATTCCGATAAAGCAATGATGTCTAATTGGCAGGCCAAATACAAAAGCCCTAACCAGAAACGCCAGTGAAGATTCCAGACATTGCTGGAATGCGCCGCGTCTCGCAGTGTCAACAGTTGAGTAATAAGGCTCGTCGTGTTCTCACGATGAGCAGTTTGGTCGAGAGAACAGGTTGTCGTCTGCCTGCCCTGGCGATGTCGTCTGCTGCCCCCGACAATGTCGTTTGGCCCTCGGACAACGTGGGGTTGACCACGACAACAAACAGGGGGAGCGGCTTTCATTCAAGCCGTTGTTGACGGACACGGAGTTGATTTCGCTTCGAAATGTGTTTAACATGTTGACATGGATTTTGTACCTGTTTTGCCAACTAAACTCAAAAAGACCTAGGCTCGTAATGTTAGCCATGACTAGTGTATACACGTGTTAGGACATTGTTCCACGAGATGATACATCATCATTGGTCTGTTTATAATGTTGAGTGGTGAGAGGAAAAGTATATATGTTGTACCGAACAGGTTCGAACGTGAACCAGACAAGTAGTTAATGGTAAAAGCATCCCCTGCAAATACTAATGCAGAGTTTCCCAACAATTTCCTGAAATTAGCCGACGCTAAGTGAAGTTGATGATGCAACCATTAATCACTATATGACATAGAATGTAACGAGATACGTCCCTGCCGTACCACCCCGGCCCTACTGCTATCATCTGGTCCCTCGAACACAGCAGCAGACCAGATTACCACAGCTGACCTTTAATGATCAGCCCAGTCAAAACCCAGGTGGGGAGCCATTCCTCTTCATCCTATGATACTATTCAAACTTCATTATGCAAGTTTGCCTTGTCATCGTAATTTCTATATTCAGTATGTTCAGTGTTCAAAGTTTCAGTATAGTAGATTTGAGTTCCAATGTGCATTATAGCGATTACTATTTTAGAAAAATAATCTGTCCTCATATGAAAATTGTTCTGAGATTTGAATAAAAGAGTTCTTTTCTTTCCTCTTGACAACTTCAGATTATGTATGTTGTCGGGTATAATCAACATTAGCGACGTGGTCGTATTACAGATTAAGTCTCATGAGTTCCGTAATGTCTGTTTATATCCCTGGAGAGTAACTTCTCCAGAATACGGCCGGGGCTGTATCCGGTGTCGAATTAGTCACTTGTTCCCCCTGCCTCTCGTAAACGACTAAATTGGGATCGGATGTCCAAGTAACAGCGGGTATGCTGCTCATTTAACAGTATTGATGTGCCTGGTCCACACACACACTCGTCGGGTTTCACCATGTAGATTATAATCTGTTTTTAAAAGTGGTTGAATTCCTGAAGCTGCTATGGAGAGTGCATAGTTTGGAGGTTTGGTGTTTTCAGTGCTTGAAGTGTTATTGAAAGAAAGTTATAGAGTTCTTGTAAACTATTTCGATTCTAGATATGAAACTAAGTGTAGTAAATAGTGGAACTAAGGTTTACTCACAATCAATAATTTCCATCTGAATTCTCCTGTCTGTGCAGAGCCTTGCTACAAAGGCTGTTTGGTTGGGTGTGCGGATTGTTCAGAAGGGAACATTGTCCTTCGGCCGAAAGATGCAAGTCAAGTAAACAGTAACTCTGCAAATACATAGTTACATATTGGTTCACAGTTAATCAACGATTTAAGGGAATCTTTAGATTTTTCATTTATTGATTTAATACACACTAACAATTTAGCAGAAGGGTGAGCAGAAAAGATTTGTATCGAATCAACCATGTAACATTATGTTTATAATATATTAACATGTCATACAGAGCAGGACAATGTACACATAACTAAATCATACAAATCTCAGTAGCATTTGTCCTGGGCAATGTTGTGGAAATCGCAGTTAGTTAATAGCTATACACACCAACGGAACGCACTGATTATATATTAGAAAAGCATGGTGAAAAGAAAGAATTATTCTAAATGTTTGATTGTTATCAAAATATTTTGCGAAATGATTTCTTATACAATAGACAAAAGATTTATACGTCAACCAAGTTTTATTATTTTATGTCATTTCAAAAGCTAATTTGTTCACTTACATTAGTTACTTTATGATCTGTTTGACTTTTGTTATCTCAGTCTTTTTGTTCGTAAATACACCAGTAAAATATTATTTTGATGACATATACTAAGTAGAAAGCGACAGGTTCAGGCAGAAAACAACTGTGGATATGGTGAGACGTTATGTACATGACTGCAGCGTACCTGGCAATCAATCAACATGTTTCAATTTAGTTTGGCAGGGTGTATATAATAGGACACGATACATGTCCTCGTTGTAGTCAGACAGGATTGTAAACATTTCTGCAGAAAATGGAAACATGGCCTTTTCTTTGGCAAGAAGAAGCTAGTCAAGTGGTCGCGCCTACCCATGTGCTTAGACAACACCATCCTCCTCAACATTGAGCAAATACTGCTTGCGGTGCAAGCCGTTGATGTTATAAACACATCTGGGAAACACAGAGTTTAATTACGTTGTCATGTCATCGTTCCCTTGTTTTACATATGACAAATGAATTATTTTAGCGTTTTAAAATGTGATTTTATACTCAGTGCCCATATTAATATTCAAACTTGTGACTGTTAAACCCCGTTAATAAGGACGCTGGTGTCCACGCTGAAGGCGTCCGGATTAGCAATGTTTCTGGATTAAGGAGTAATGTCAGTTAGTATGCGTTCCCGGCAATCTAGTGGTCTGTTAGGTGGGGTTTTCGGTTTATCGTACGGATATGTACTGCGTACTATTTGTGTGAAGGTAAGCATATATCAGTTTAAAACGGGTTCCAAATGTTCCATTTACTTTATTCCTGTAACAGTGTATCGTGTACACAAGTACATTATATATTGTTTTAATTCGTAGCGTTAGCATAACGGTACACACACCTGTCTGTCTCACAGTTCCTGAACCGCAGTATATTCCCTCCTGCCTACACATATCTGCAATGTTAAAGTCCTAAGTGAAGCAAGTCTAGATTTCCTCAGGTTCAGGTTCTGAATCTCTGGTCTCCCTGGGGATCCTTTTCAGTTTAAATGGAATTGTTTGTTTCTATCAAAATGTTATATTCAGAGACTAAGCGTTAGTCTGAGCAAACACCTACACATTAATGCCATATGTGTATGAAACCGTTGACATTGAATTGTATGTTATTTTGCGCAGATTTCAGCTCATCAAATCTGGGCTGTGTGAAACAGTGGTTGATACCATGAGCAACGATTTACACATTCGAGTATGATCGCACATAATCAGGGCACACGTTTTATATACCCGGGCCCCATACGACAAAACGTCATGTGCAAACATATTCTGCTCAGGAATCCGCACTTGTTAGGCAACATGTATTGTGCTAATAGACTGGAAGTCATGTGTCTTGGGCCTGATCCATGGCACCGTTCTTAATAACGTGTGTAGGCCTGCCTATCGTCGTCAGGTAAATGATGGGCGTTGTAACTGTATAATAAACCATTACATTGTTTAAAACTACATAAAGCCTGTGAGAGATTAGTTTACATTCTCGGCAAAGTTACGGCACGTAAATGATGGCTTTTGATAAATTTCGTTATGATCAAAGGCTGGTGGCAAATCTGCCCCTCCTCACTTGCCTTCCTGTAACTTCATCATAGACAAGGTATGTATGTGTACTGTGTACTGTCAGGGAAAAACAGGTAATTCAGACTAAGAATGTTCTCGTTTTTGCCGATGCTGCTATTTCAGAATTTAGCTACAATAGTAGCGGGGTATAGGCACTGCAATTTGGTCAGCCTTTCTGAGATTTATAATGTACTCTACTCATGTCATGCGCATTTGTATCTTTTTTATATTTGTTTTGATTTTTACTTGTCGTTTAACGCTGCACTCAGCAATTTTCCAGCTACGTTATGGCGGTCTGTAAATAGTTGAGTCTGGGCCACACGACCCAGTGACTGACATCATGAGCATCCGTCCATGCAACTAGGATCCGATGACATGCATCAACCTAGTCAGCGAACCTGAACCCGTCATTCGCATCTTGTCACAAACGTGGCTTCTAACGAGGATGTTGGCGGGAAGACGGCAGTCAACACCAAGGAACCAGAACCATCATATTAATGTTTAATAAACTTAACGTACAAATATACATTGAAACAAGTATGGGAATTTGGTTAAAATGTTTTGTTGTTTTTCAGACTCCCGAGAAGGGCAAGTTCGTGTGTCAAGTACCCCAATGTCCAGACGCTGCTTGAAGAGGTGTGGGAACTGCGTGTAAATCTCTAATCTCGCTTGGTGCTAATCATATGAAGTTATTGGGCTCGCCGCCCACCAAATAACAACGCATTTAGCTTGGCTCAAATCGTTGGCCATGGCTACAAACCTCAGTTCACGTTGTCTCTTTCATGCTTAGCTATTGTCTTATTTGTCGAATTTTATGCAGTGGAGATCATTGCTCTTATGAATACCCGTAAACAACTTTGCTGGGACAAGCCATTAATACAGATTTCACGATCACCTGTCAGGTGGACTTGCTTGAGGAGGGAGTGATTGTCACATCTCAGGAACACCTGTCAGATGGACTTGCTTGAGGAGGAAGTGATTGTCACAGCTCAGGAACACCTGTCAGGTGGACTTGCTTGAGGAGGAAGTGATTGTCATATCTCAGGAACACTTGTCAGACGGGACTTGCTTGAGGAGGAAGTGATTGTCACATCTCGGGAACACCTGTCAGATGGACTTTCTTGAGGAGGAAGTGATTGTCACATCTCGGGAACACCTGTCAGATGGACTTGCTTGAGGAGGAAGTGATTGTCACATCTCGGGAACACCCGTGGAACAGTGATTATCGCGTTCCGATGCATCTGACAGGTGGTTCTGCTGAAGGATGAAATGATGATCATATAGATGGCGGACCATTCAAACAGCTTGGCTGAGGGATGCAGCAATTATCTTAACTCTGATGTATGGGATTGTTGCATGATATAGCTACATCACCCACTTATTATCTCTACTCATGGACTCGTGTCAGATTGCATAGATGGACCACAGTGTGTTAATAAATACCCAGTAGATCTGTTACATGACATGACCGAACCATTAGAGATAGACCCAACCGTTGTAAATTCCCCATAAAACAACCTTCAGCAAATCCGCTGCCGGAAGCCTTCTTTTAACATGTGTTCACTCCCCGCTAGCCTACACAGAGAACCACATTCAGTTCAGGACTATATATTCCAACGCTTTGATCACGCCATGTCATGATGTGTCGTTCAGAGCCGCATGTGTTTCCATGAGGTTCTAAGCTGACAGGACCAAGTTCAAGAATCAGTTGACAATGAAATAACAGTCAGATAGACGCAGAAGGGACAGACATTGTGAGATGAAGTAGTTGGCCGTTTGTTGTTATTGTTTATATTTATTTCAGAGTTGAGCCGTTTAAACATTAGATGAACATATGTGGTTATTGTTCCTTGTTTTGATGTGTCGAGTTTAAGTGTATAAATATTTTGTTTTTATGATTGGAAAATGATAGAAGGAATCCTAATAATCATCATTTGATCATTTGACATCAATAATAAACGAATGTCTCTGTTCTGAATCGAATGGTACGTTCGCATTTGGAACGTTACCAATACATACAATGGAGGATATTTGGCGTTTCTTGTAAAAAGAACATGTTCCCTGATTGAGTGACCTGACATGAATAGGTAAGAAAAGCCAAATATTTGTGATATAATTTCTAACTGATCGTAGTTTGTAAAGGTCAGTAAGACTATAAGTAGGTCCGGTGAAAGGTCTTTTATAATTGATATATACTTTCATATGTTAACACACAGCAATTAATGATTGAATTAATAATTGTTTTCCTTCACAAATCCTGACTGGAGGTATTATATGTACCACTGCCACCCATACACACCTCCTAGCAGATGTTACCCTCGGGGTCGGCATATGGGTGTGTATCACAGACACTTTAATTGACACCTGTAGGTACAATATCATAAACATACACTTAAAACGTGAAGGTTGATTGAAAGTGTACTAGTCCATAATAACACGATATGATAGACCTGCCCCACACTATTTCTCAAATATCTTCAAGATATCATACTTTGTTGTTTGACAGCATTAGATGCATGATAAATTCACTATCAAATATTCTCTGAACGTTTTGACAGGAGAATCTAAAAGATTATACCTGCCCTCCCCATCCCTGTTCTTGTGGAGGAGAACGTCCTGATAAGCCCCCCGCTAATTCCCGTTAGCTAATGTGCCAGCGCTAATAAAGTGCCATGACAGCCAGATTATCACAAGTTTAGATAAAACATTCTTTGAGGACATTATCGGTTCTGAATCACCCTAATGCCAGAGTTTTCAGTGAACTAGACTATTTATAAGCTTTTATCAAATGCTGGAGACTGGAGAAGCAGCCATTACACATTCTTCAACACCAGATTAACAGAAACACGGGCGAGTAGACTTGCTTGGCGTCTTACGTGCAACAAATCAATTTCAATTAGTATTGTCGCCTCTTGTATTCTGTTTCATCGATTCCTGTCAGATTGTGCACTTTTTGACTTGACCTGGTGACACCATGTCGCTCTATGTTTCCTGGGCTGCCAACTGACTGTGAAGGAGGACAGAAGCTGAGCCATACAGTGGCAACTCCGGACTGAACCATGACAACAAACACTTCTGTACTTTGGGTTCAAGTCGAACTAGCTTGAAGTTATGTGTAGGGGGAATCATACTGTTATTGCGACATCTGCTTCATTACCCCTAAAAGGAACACTGGTAAACTGTGATGTGTAATTGCTTAACGTACTCACCTATTACCAAATGGATCTTAACTGTTCTGTATATTTTGTTGTATTTATAAACATAAGTAATGTACTAGTGCTTACCCTTTAGCCAACACCTTTAAACCAGATAATGTTATGTTTTTAATTAAAAATGTGTGATCAGATTATTGGACTTCGAGTGAATGGCGGTGTAACGAATGTGAGTATTCAGATGGGGTTGGACAAATGCACACTTTCTGTTGGTGATACAGTTCTTGTTCTCAGGATGTGTTCTGGAGCGGTTGATATGTCCTATTACAAAAGGTACAGTTACAGGATACTGGTATTTAATACATGAGGTTAATTAACAGCAAATATAACATTGGAGATGCACAATAACCAGCACATCGTACCCGTGTAGAATCGAACTGATGAAATGCGTCGATGGTTTGCTGTTCGAGCCTCAAGGAGTTCCCATTTCAACATTTACAGAAGAATGTAACTTCTAATTTCCATGAGCTTCTAAATAGCTCAGATGAGAGTGTACATGTTTATAACTTGAATAAAAGTAAATATAAATGTTGAAATCGTTTGTAACCTGACCTATCGCGTTTAATTTATGTGATGTATTATAATTATTACGAGTTTCACAAGAATAACAAGTCTTTGGTAGTTCTGTTTAGAAGGTATTCGAGTCATGTCTGGTTTTGTTGGTTGTTGCAAGTATGTACATATGTCTGCATCAACAATGCAAATCTGTTATATATTTCAATAAATCATGCGCCATTCAATTTCAATATTTATGTTATATTTCACAATTAACATGTCTTCATACGTCCACTTCAATTCCCCACAGGATAAGGTGAAGTAACATCATGTTATATGTGCACATATCTCTTTGTACATGGGAAATACATTGTAGCCTGTTCAAGTTCAAGAAGTCTCGATAGCGTACGTTTTTTATTGCCATTCTTGGGCTGGGAGTTTTGTAAGAGGCTCTTGTTTAGAACATTAATATTTTATCTCCGAAAGACGAAAATATTTTGTTTTTTCATGACAGCGAGTGGACAGTTTGTGAAGCCTGGAGAAAATTATGTAGTTTTTAGCATTTACTGGCACGATATTCTTCTTTGTAAAGGCCAGGTGGTCAATAGTGCCATTTATGCCTTTTTGTGCATGGAATAGAAAATGAAATAGAAACCTGAAGGTTGGAACTTCGGTTTTGGTGAGACTGGAGAACGGCCAGCACAGACGAAGATTCGCATGACTTATGACTATGATTAAAGAGCGCAGCTTCCATTGATATTGGCATTCAGAGATGCATGTGTGAATGAGTGTTATATACTAAACATTTGGTTCTGTGTCGCTACCACATGTTCAGCAACATGGCCCTGATGACCCCGTGTATGCACAGGCCAGTTAGGAATATACACACATGCTGTCTGTATGCCGGTTTCTTGTTGCTACGCTCTGGACGGAAAGACACGGCTATAGAACTTGAGTCCACCCTGAACAGTAATCGTCTGGGACAAAACAAGGATCATAGGCTTGACTCCTACATTGAGCTTTACGTAGTAGATCCATATAGCAATTTCCGTTTCAAATGACATTTTGATTTTTTACAAGTAAAATACTTTACTCTTATATAAATACATCTGTATCGGTGTAGTATATGAATACTATGTTAACTATGTGTCAGGACATGAAAAATAGCAATATCTTAACAAAGATAAATGATTAATGTCGAAGAAAAATGTTAAGTTTTGAAAAAAAAGCATTCTCGAAACTTTAGTTTCCACGGCAAATGCAGTAATTGTGAGTGCTCACTTTCCCCTGTCGTTTTACGTTACACGAAAGCTGACACCCCGTGTACGGAACTAACCCTTTAAGCAAAAAGATTAGCTACCACCTAGGAGGTGTAAATTAGCTTAGTGATCTGGCAACACGACAGAGAACAATCAGCAAGCAGCGAGTCGTGAATCAGACAAATTCCCCACCCGATCTCCCATTATCACGACCTCTACGAATTCTCACCACATGAATGCGCCCCTCAGAACAGGCCTATTTAGCCACAAGGTGTTGGCTTAGGCCCTTAACTATTCACGCGAGCAAATCTAATTACAAGTAGATTAGGACCTACAGCGAGCATCATTACCGAGCCTGTGACCATTGGTGTGACCATTGTCCACAAGTGCCCGTAATGACCAGTTTGTCACCCACGTGAAGTAGGGGCGTGACCAAGGGTCATTTGTTGTCTGTGGGGGTGTTGGTCAATTCAATGGGACTTCAAGCTGGTGTGACTTCACAATTAGCTTAAGTTGGTTCGCACAGTCGATGTGTTATGCCAGGCCAAATGTTGAAATTCTTCCAAGAGTTAGCTTTACTTGGGTGACCAACAAGAATTCCGTATAATTTGCTGGGTGGATAATTGCTGACAGGTTTAGTTTTGTTAACGAGAACAGCCTACTAGGCTAATTTTGTTTGTTCATTTCATTTACTCCGCCAGCACGTGTTATGGTGTGTTGTGGTTTCAGCAACATGAGAACTAGGTGTGGAAATTGTGTAGTTACGTATACTGGCTAGGATTTAAATCGTGTACATCCTTAACCGACGGCTTTTGTCCAGAGCAGAATGCAAAATGTCCAGTGCAATGCAACACACGAAATGTATGTTCTCTCAATCGTGAAACACAATAATCTACAGTGACATGTATCACATAATTCCATATATTTAGAGTAGTTCTCTATAGCGATCAAAACGTTTCACTGTCATTCTGACGACCATGACTACACGCTCATAAAATAACCATCAGCGGATTGAAATAATCGAGTGTATGATTTGAACCGTTCTAATTTTGCAAGTATGATTTCCTTATTATTTAT